CTGGCCTCGTACCTTAGAGGGGAATGTTTTTTCAAGCTGTTTTTTAACCTTTCAACCATACAAAGTGTGTTTTACCAGCGTTAACTTGATAAATGTGTGTGGGTGTGTAACTTATCAGCTATCACTCATCAACCTCATGGTTATTGAAGCACTACCAAAAAGGTAGTCTATACTACTATGTGAATTCCATAAATTTAAGGTTTTCCTACTTGTTTAAACCCGATGTGTGAAAAAGGAAACCACTGTGATGCTAATGATAGTCTGCGCTCTCGTACCTGTTTGTAAAAGTTGGTTTTGGCCTTAAAATTAATGCAGCAATTTATCAGAGATGTGCAGCGCGGAAGGAGAGTTAAAGCATACAGGTGGTTCACAGCAGGCAATTTACTGCATTTTAAAATGATGCAATCCATACATTAGTAAAACTACCGTTAAGACATATATTGTATTTTAATGTATGTAATGTAATGTATTTTTGGCCTTCTTAAGTGGCAATTAATTAATAACTGAATATTTTGAAAAGGAAGATTTTTTTTTTTTAATTTGTATGAGATTTATTTTTCTTGTTAAATGTTCACTTTATTAACACTAACTAAATTAAATGTGTCATTTTATTGCTCTGTTTCTGTATTTACCCTAATGAGGAGATTTATGGGGGGTTTTTTCAAACCCGAATTCCATGAAAATGAATGGCACACCAGAGTCCTGGCCTTATGTCTCCCTCTATTTCTCATTATCTTTGTCCTTTCCTCTCTTTGTCTTCTACTGATGTGTGCTGGTCTTCTCGGTTCATCTGTCTCACTCATCAGCGCTCTTCGCTGTTCATCCGTCTTACTCCTTCTGTCTGCCCTCCGAAATCGGCTGTAGCAGGCTGAAAGCCTTGTTCGCCGGCCCCTTTTGTCGAACCAAGCTACTGTGTTAAGCATCTTAGCATGAAAAGTCTGCTAGCCAGCAAGCTAATCCTGGTTAGCTGCTTCTCTAATCCCAAATTTAATGTTAAAATCTTGAAAACACTGATGCAGAGCAATACTAACACTTTCTAAAGAGACCATGTTTATAGATTGTATTGACAGCATTTTAGATTTCCACTTAAAAAATAAGTTATAGTGTTGTTGGTTTTAATAGTTTTCAGTTTCATAAAGATTTTAAAGTTTGAGCATATTTGATCCATATCCATAGAAGCATCCTCTGTCCCTGGGTTCCTCCTGTGCATTAGTCAGTTGACACTCTTCTTATAGGAGAAATGAGGAGAGTGCTCTGTGACTGATGGAGCTGCTTTGTCAATGACAGGGGAGCTGCTGCTGGCAGTTTTGGGCCAAAGAACAGTGCAGATTACATTAACATCAGTCAAGCTGTTGTCAGACTAGTAGGACATAAATAGGACCTTATTGATGCATAATGCAACAACTTTTCATTGTGACGTTCTCTGAGTAATGGGTTCAGAAAGTGAGTCTGTGGCTAGAAAGGCAGTGCGCCAGAAAAGATCTGCAGAGATGTATCAGAAATGGCGCATTGGTTAAGTCGAGATCAAGTCGAAAAAAGAGTATTGTCCGGATAGATCGATATTTAAGAGTCAGCATGAATCAACTGACTTAGGGTCAGCTTGAAAACATGGCAACATCAGGCAAAAAGAGGCACATCAGTGTTTTTAGTAGTGGCGAGAATTAATTTTACTAACCACTTCTCCTAATTTTTTTCTCCTTTGCTGGATATCATATTACTGTTAAAGGGCTTTGACAGTTTGTAATAGAAAAAACAAAACTGTTGACCCAGACTCCAACAAGCAAAAATCCTTGACAGAAAAATTGCACTGTGCTGTTTGATCACCGCTGACACTGCCCCTACTGCGCCTCTCCACCTACTTCAGTACAGTCAACTTCACAGAGACTCACAAAATACAGGTGCAGCTAGAAGAGGAGCTGCCGCGCACCCAAGAAAAATGCCACTTCATAGACATAAAGTAGTAAAGTATAGTGCTCTGGATCCACGTTTTGCACCTTCAGCATAGAGCCAATGATGTGACGTATTTGATATAGTATTCTGTTTACTGAGTTCCTTTAGCCAAAAGTTTATTTTATGCAGTGAATGATATGTTTACATGCTGTATATCATGATGGCAGTTCAAGCAGAAGAAATTATTAGAAGTTAATGTGAAAGTTGTAAAGGAAAGACTTGCATGGTCAGGTAAGACTTTAAGTTAACATTACTACAGAGAATAATAACTAAGATGTTTTGACAAACTGTAGTTGTACATATAAATATTTGAGACCATGTAATCCTTTTGTTTAGCAAGAGCCAGCGTCTGACAGTTTTGAAAGTCCTCATCTTTCTTTAGGTCTAATCTTTCTTCCTTCTCGAGGAAGCATTCTCGAGGAAGGCTGAATTTCTGTGAGGAGTGAAAGCTGAGGACAGTTCCCTGGAGTCCGGACACCAAGGCCCCCGGGCCTCCACAGCTCATAAACAGATGTGTCCTTGTCCCCAGCCAAGCGCAGCCACTCAAGTGGCAAAGCAGGGGCCCAATAATTGTGAAGAATAGAAAGCTAAATATTGGCTTTATCTCCTCAGTAATAAAAGGGCCATGAAATTGATTTAATGCTGCAGCGCTTCTCTTGGGTGGCTTCTTACAGCGTGAGCACAAAACAATGAGCAGCAGCCATCTATTAATTAACCCACCTAATCCTGCAAAGTTAATCTCTCACCACAACTTTGCCCGCAACTAACTTCCAAGCCAGTGGGTCTATTGGGGGTGTCATGACAATGGCAGTGAGGGGAAGATAGATTCAGCACTTAGGAAAAAGGGAGCGAGAGAGAAAGAGGTGGAGAGTGCACTGTTGTGCACATCAACCATGAGGGACATTGTAAGTGGAAATTCAGGGGTGCATGGCCGTCATTAGCATAGCTTCAGAGTCGATTTGTGTTTTAGTGAAAAGAGGCGGAGATTAGCTCTTGGAGTCGTTTTCAGGTGTGCTGCGGCTGCAGTAGCGTAGGCGGGTGGATTTAAGTTGCATTTTTTGTTGTCTTTTGTGTGTCCTTTTTCTCCTTTCACCATGCTACCTCAGTCTGTTATTCTCTCCTGAGCTGTTAGATAGTCGGGGGAAAAGTGGCATTTCTTTTTCTTCTTCACCTGCCTACCAGTCGCAGCATGATGGCACCTCACACCCAACTCGCACATTCATGGTCATATTGTGTCGACAGAGTTGTGAATTACCTCCTTCTCGGGCGGCTGATGAAAAGCTATGTGTTTTTCTCTTTGGCTGCAGCTCATCTGACCCTGCCCTCTCACCTCCCCCCCATCCCTCCCTGTGTCTCATCAGTCTTTTGTGTGAGTCCCTCTTCGTGGAATAGCAGTACAAGGCTGGCTCGGAAAATAGGTCACCCGCTGGTGCTCCTCTCACCTCCACAGCATTCAAAAAAAATAATCCTCTGAGGTGTCTTGTGCCATTTTGTAATGTCTAAACCACAGTCTCCAGAATATAGCCAGAACACACAAAAAACACACATGCACACATATCAACTAAAGGAGAAAAATCAAGAAAAACTCCAATTGAGGGGATTTGGAGATCATTTCTTTGCTAGTGAGGAAAGCATTTCCTGTGGAGATAATTTTAGGAGGCTGATTAGGCATAGAAGGTGTTGAGCCCAGAGTGAGGAATCTCATCACCCATACTAATGACATGCCATTCCTGAGCTGAGAGCCCAAGCCCTGGGCATGGACTAGTCTCTGTCAGCCACCTCTAGCTACTGTGTTCATTAAGGCCAACAATGTAATTACAATTCACAGATACTGTGTTGGCTTAATTACAGTCTGATTATTAGGCTGATATTTGTTGGAATAATCAGACCCTTTAAAAGTGGATTTATATTTGCATGGAATTAAAGCCTTGATTTTATTAGTGTATCACAAACTGCCTGATTTCTGAGTGAGTGTATGCTGTAGATGTGCTTTAAAGTAGCAAGCTTAAAGAATCTCAGCGTCGGAGTATAAATGTTTACATAAGTAAAGTATTTACATGAGAATAAACAAACACAAAAGACTTCTTCAGTCTTCACATAAGCTCACAGATGGAAATCTCTTGAGTGACAAATCATCCAAGAGATGCCTTCGTCTGATTGTGGGAAATGTTTTTCTCTGCTATATAGCTTCCACCCGAATAGCCAGACAAAAAAAAAAAATCAAAAATCCAAATGTGGACTGCATTACAGTGGATTATTCTGATTCCATAGACACTCACTGTAATTGGGAGCACTCCCGAACAAAATGCAGGGATGGTCCCCAGAGGTAGGGCCATTATGCCCATGTCTATGCAGCTCAGAAGTGGCTATAATCTTTCATCCAAAGCATGTGACATAAACACCCCCAGAGCCAAATTCTTCCACTAATGTAATCAGAGATCTTACACGGGTTTGTGCTGTAGCTGAATACAGTCCTACACATTTGCAGAAATGTACCTTTATATAGTTTGAAGTCATACATTTTTCATATATTCATTCTTACATGTATCGTCATCAGCATATTTTTCTGTATGAGTCCAAAAATATAGTCTTTACAGTAAGAGCATGTGGATTATATTGCTAAACATGACATTTCGAATACATAGAAATCAAATGTTGTGTATATGAAACAATTTGGAGATTGTTTATTTGAGTTATTAGGTGATTTGTTTAAAATCTCAACCTTCTCACATGCCAGGTTGGATTTGACAGAGCTGACCTACGTGTCTCTATTTTTTCTCAGCTCGTTTTATTCCGTGAGTTGCTCGTGGCTATCGTTTTGTTTCTGTGTGTGTGGATCGAGCAGGTCTGCGGGGTTTTGAATCTCACTCTGTGTTCTGTAGGAGACTGCTGACAGATGTCGACCTAACACGAGCCCCTGTCTGTGAAAGCTATAGTTTTATCCTGTAGCTCAGCACTGGTATCAACATTCTCCTGTAGCTTTGGGAGGTACTCATCTCTGTGCACGAAGTGATGTGCGTGTGTATATGTGTGTGTATATGTGCCTGCAGGCTTCCCAGCGACAGCATATGGACCGGTGGCGGCGGCGGCAGTAGCGGCAGCGCGTGGCTCAGGTAGGGGGGCCCGTGGAAGAGGCGGCTACTTGGCGTACCCACAGAGCACAGGGCCAGGTAAACGCTCTGTCCATGTTCTGTGTGGCTGCTGCTCTCTTCAACTTCTCCTGCTCTGCTTCTCCCCATAGACATAGTTCCCTCAGCCCCCAACACACTTGGCAACATTTTGAATTTAGGCTCACAATACATATTTAATCCAAAATATCTACATACACATCCTTTCAGACATAGCCCTAGCCGCTCCAGATCCCTCTAAAACATGAACCGGCAGCTTTAATTCCAATTCTCTCATCTGGAAGATTTTTAAGGGCTGATGACAAAGCACGACAAATTTTAATATGAATTCCGCTCATGTATGATAACATAGCCCTGTTTACTTTTAAGACAGTAAAAGTCTTCCCAGGAGGAAATTTCTGAAGCAAAACCTTAATGAAGAGGCGATCCGCGGTCTAAAACATCTGTACTCGAAGCTCTCAGGGTTTTAGCATTAATAAGAAATGGTTACACATGCAAGAAAATCTGATCTTAAAGCAGCTTAGGGCAAAATAAAAAGTATTTCCTTAATATCTTCTTCTCAGAGTATGTCTATAAATATTTTCAGATTCAAAAATTGAGAATATTGTAATCCATGAAGCTAGGTAATGAATTTCCAGTTTGTCTCTTATTATTATTATTATGTCTTATTAAACTACCTGAATGGACATTTTCCTTTGCCTCGTCCAGATATTTGTCATTTAGGTTAAACTAAGTTGCGTAATGTTTGGTCTAATGGTGGATTGTCTCTTAAAAGAAATAAATGAGGATAAAGCAGTGGAGTACAGTAATGGCAGTCATTTTTGCTCCCAGACACTTTTCTTACAACCTGATCATCAAAGCACCGTGAACCTCGGGTGGCTTTGTGATCACCGTTGTGTCGGTTCTTTACGAACGTCAGCTTATCCTGTGTTGCTCTATATCTGTAAATACAGACGTTTAATAGGGAAATTGGAAAGATTAGTCGGTGCTTTAGCTGCCTGCTTGTAGAGATCAACTTTAAGTACACACGCACTCGAGGAAAACGTTCTGACAGCACACACCCCATTCGCAAGCAGATGAATATCTGCCAAGAGATTTGTACCAAAAAAACAGGATGCAAGTTTCTTTCTGTCTTAAACAGCATTGATCAACTTGTCGGCTTCATTTAGACATCCTGTTTTTCCCCCACCCTTACAACTGTAGATCATTCAATAGCTGTCAATAATAGCTCCCCTGACTGAACACACAGCCTCCAGGCAGTGAGGAAAAACTGTCTTTCCTAATCAGACATACTATTTGAAGCTTGTTGGAGCAAATGTGTTTTAATTGTAACTCAGATGTTGCCTGGTTTGTGCAGTGGCTTACAGATATAAAGTCAGGAGACAATTGGTGTTTAATGACATGTGCTGTGATGTGAAATGCACACTATTGCACATGAACACACTGACAGCTACAGTACGGGTGCACACTACCTGCACGCACGCACACACGAATGCAGACAAGCAAGCTCACGCTCTTCTTCTCATTTGAACTTAATTCAAATCAACAGAGGGAACACTGGAAGCCAATCAGATGCTCTTTCTCTCACATCAAGCTATTTGATTTTGTATTTTGAAAACAAAGAACTTAACCAACAATTGCAATGAACACCACTAAGAAGCAGGAATGTTGATTTGGGGTTAGCAGCAGCCAGGAAGCAAGAGACGTGATGGCAGCTATTATGTACAGTTTAATTCTGACAGCTGCAAATGGAAGGGAGACAAGTAAATGATTATGAACAGGGGCGGAGGGGGAGGGGTGTCAGAGTGAAAAACAGTGACATCATGGGCCTGTTTTAGAGTACTTAAACAGCCACGAGACAGTTTAAGGAGAACTCTTCAGAAAAATGGCAGAATGTGTCTGAAAAGCAGAAAATGGAACAACAATAATAACAGCAGCAAAATGTGGAATATGAGCATAATTTGACTGAGCTCATAAAATGTCAGCAGATCTAAAACAGCTGTATTCTGTTTTATTGTTGCCATTTAGTATCCGCTCTGTTCTCGGGAGAAAAACTTAACAAATGCCTCTTGACGATCCAACGAGCGCAGCTCTCCATCTCGTGGCTTTGAGTCGCAAATGATTGATTAATGATTTATTAGAAGTCCTCAAGATGACGCCATTAACACGCAGCGTGGAATAATACATGGAGTGCTCGCCTCTCTGCGCAGACACAAACCAAACAGAGGACACAGGTTGTTTAGACTTGACCTTCCTCTCTGTGTGTGTCGTCTGGGAACATTGCTGCATCTCCATCCCGTCGTAACGTTTAATTTGCAGCACGCTCGGCCCGGGGTGTCAGTCCAGGAATAGCAATGCTCTTGCTTTCATTTTTGCTAAATTCTCCATGTTTAGTGCAGACGTACATGTGGATTCCGTGTGCTTTGACTCCACCTACAGTTTCCATAGAGCACCACATATTATATATGTGCTTGTGGACTTTGACCCAAAAAGGAGAGAAGAATCGGCGATGATATTTCCCCTGAACCGGATGCCACAGGCTTTAAATAAAAGTAAAAATGCACACTTGATAATCACGAGATATAAGTGGAATGCTACAGGAAAGCTTTTTGTGTAGGTCGAGGCTTGTTTGGAGATTGGCAGCGATACACAAAGAGAGTGTTGTGAAAATGAGGAAGACATTTTCCATCAGTGACAGAGGGCACTTTCGCCCGACTCCCAGTGCTCAGCAGACAGAATGACAGCATGCTGACCTCTCTCTGTGCGACAGACCACTGCTGATGACAAGGTGTATTTTGGATGGCAGTGGCCTGATTCCTGCAGGAAACCATAGACACAGCTAAGTGGGCCTGTGCCACTTTTTCTTTGATCTATTACCATGTGTTTTATTGCTTAATCTTATTTTTTTTTGCACTATATATTTTAACACTACTGCACTACCTTTCTTGCCTGTTTCCAGGCAATAAAAACTGCCAGTCAGGAGGGGGGGGGAATAAAACACAGAGTTAACGGTTACTACTCAGACAGGCTAATAAAAAGCAAAAGCAGTGGTTGGTGTAATTCCAAATGGGTTTTTTTGCAAAAGGTTGGTGTTTGGTGTGCATTTGAAGAGGTGGGTTTTTTTGTTACTCTGATCCCCATCAGGTAGTATCTTGCACCTCTCAAGTGCAACAACGCTTGAGGGGTAGTCTTGATGTGTGTTTTTGGGGACGTTTGAGAAACTAGCTTCAGGCGAGAAGTAGATCAGAGAGATGTGGCTACTTGACAGAGTTTACCATTGCCTGGAGGTGGAAAGGTGCCAGCCCATACTTGGATTTTTAGGCTGGTATCAAGCTATGACTGGGTGCCAGTGGAGGTTTTAAAAGGCAGTCGTATTGTAGCAGTTGGAAAGGCTGAGCATCTGTATATTAAGGCTAGCATTGAGGAAATTACTTATTTGCCTGTATTTTAAACACGTACACTTTAACCTCTGCTGTGTATGTGAAGAACAAACCAGTAAATAGAGAAAAAGAGCCATTGTTGCCACAGTTATTGAGACCGACAGGTAGTTTATTGGGGAACTGAATGGTAAAAATTAGACATACATGTCAACAACAACCTGGCCATTGAAATGCATGCTGAGAACATCACTCTGAATATTATAAATGGATATCTAACAAATATAACACGTGGAGAAAGTTAGTAATTTAGCCATTCTTTTTAAGGTCTTCTTTCCTCCTCATTGCGGTACTCTTTCTCCATTTTAAAGTAGACTTATGTGAAATCTCCTGTGCGCTGTCAGATGAAAACTGAGAAAATGCAACTGATGCAGATGGTTCTGACAGTCCAGGGAACTTCAAAGGTCCCAGTGTACTCTGGTTGAGTGTTTTCCTGAGTCCCTCTGAGCTTTCTGAGAAGCTCAAATGTCAGTCTCAGATCTCGGCTCTACCTGCAGTGTACACAAAGCACATCTAACTGCATTTACAGGTCTGGGTACTTGCTATGTACAGTATGTCTGACTTGACTCAGGTGCTCGAAACTGAAATAGAGTGGCTGTGGCCAGCCCTATGAATAAATTGTGCTGCAGTATAAATTGCAGAGGTGGCCCTGCCAATTTTATTGGGATTTAGGATAGTCGTCACATCATTTAAAACCCATTCCTCCCCTCAGTTAGCTGCTCCTCTTCTTTGTTCTGATCTCACATTTTCTCATCTCACTTCTCCTTCCACCTCTTTTATTTCCCAGCGATTAAAAGAAAGGAAAAGTGACAGTCATTTCCAAGTTAAGATTATTATCAATTTCCTCCCAACAAGCTCTGTGATCTTCTGCAGTGCCTGAGAGGAGAGTAGGACTGGCTATGTGCACGAGGCTTAATCAGTCTGGCTCTTAGTGAGCATGGGTCCATTTGTCCCAGATGCTAATCTGCAGAGCTCAGCTCTGAGGCCAGAAGCACTTTACATGTATTTGCTGCAAAATAACATGAGCAGGCATGCCAAGCCCATCCTGCTCGGGTTTTTGTCTAAGGCCCAGGGAAAGATTTGACACATCGGGGAGGGCAAAGCGTCCCTTTGCACCTCCACCACAAAGCGGTGGTTCACAGCTGTGGGGAGCAGATGCTCTGAGGTTACAGGCACAGGCCTTCGGGGACATCACCGCTCTGCCCTCCAGGGGCTGCATACATAACACACTCTTCAAAGAAAACTTAATGCTAGGAAGGTATTTTGCTGTCAGTTCTGTGACTTCAGCTTAGAAATATAGTATGTGTTCGATATGATAGTGCATTATGTGGTTATTGCAGAACACTGCAGAATGCTTACTTTGCAAAAAGAAGCACATTGCATAGTTTTCTCCACACTGTGTGGCTACATGCTGTAGTGGTTTACATGCTCATGTGCAAATAAAAGGCTGCTGGTTTACTTCCGGTCAGAGACAAAAATCCCCTTAGAGTTGTGTTGGTAAGGGCATCCGGAGTAAAACTGCAAACTCAGACATGCGACCCTGCTGTGATGGCCCTTTGTGAACGAGGGAGCAGACAAAAGTAGCATCTGCAGTCTTTTCCACCCTAACAATAACACGTGAAATAAATGGATGTGAGATTTAGCAACCCATTAACGTACAATCTCTGAGTAAGCATTGCTCTAAGAGTCGGTTCCTCTTTGATTTATTCATATATTCTTCCCTCTGTGTCTAAATGACCATTAGACGTAGCCAGCATCTTGCTCAGATTTCACTCACAGAGAGTCTTAGATTTCTTCAGACCACTTAAGCCTGACCAGACATGTTTGAAAAAAATGTGTTTAGCCAAAAGGCCAGCGCTGTCAGCTCTGGGGCTGCTCACGATGGGATAATCTGCGCCGACTGTCGATAACTGAGCGCCCTTTCTCAGTCCCAACCAGACCCGATCCCTCACAGGTTAAAATCTGCATTAAAATCATTTAGCATGGCCTGTCTGGGCTTTGCTGCTGCAAATTATTGCGAGCAGATTTCTTTCTCTGTTGCACGTTGTTTTGCCCGTGATTCTGCGCTCACACTTTCTCTTGGCGCTTGGCACTTTCCACAAGTCGTTCCCCAAGGTAAATCCATATCTCTGTTGAGTTTGCCCGTTACGGGAACGAGTGGCAAGAAAAGGCAAGAGCAGGCATAAAATGAAAAGTAAAGAAAACAGAGGCCTCAGTATGGGTGAGTAAATGCAAGAAGAAATCATCTGTTAAAATTCATTAGCCAAGCTTCTCTGAACACAAAATGACAAGACATTAAATATGTATTATTTATGAAATGTCTGTGCTCTCTGAAAAGGGTGTCTAGTGCTGTTAATTACTCAGCCATTCATTCAGAAAAGATTATTTCAAATGGAAAGTGAAAGCAAGGCTAGACAGCAAAAGAGCTGTTAGTTTCTTTCACGCTATTTTTAAATGACATTGGTGAAAATGGAAAAGCTAATTATGGTAGCTCTAAAATTCAAAGCTAATTTGAGAAGCAGCATGTCAGGTTTATTGACATCTTCTGCAGAGTGATGTGGTTTGATGGCCACCGAGGAATCTTGCTGGCGCCGCAAGGGAAAGGGAGGAGTGGCTGCATGAAAATTTCTATTTGCAGAACTTGGTGATAGATTTTTATATTCCCCGATGCCTGGTATTTGTTGACTGCGTAAATAACAGATATGTTCATGTATATTCAAAGCTTCTTGCACATGAAAAGTCAATATTTTGGTGACGATCAGAATTCCAAACAGGCCTTGTAGCGAACCCTTGCACATTAGAAGATGTGGACAAAGTGTTTTCCTCTGGTTTTAAAATGAGAATGATCCCAAACTCGACAAAGACTCCTGGTAAACCTTTTCACATCCTGAAGACCCACGAGGCCATATTTTATCATCAGTCTGATTATGGGGTTCTTTTATTTTCCAACTTGTGGGAAAAAAAAGAAGACTACTTTCAAGGTTTGTGATTCCTCCTTAAAGGCAGTCACCTGGCAAAGTGGGACTGAGAACAGGGCATTTATCCACTTAAAGAGAGCCACCCCAATGATGTCAGTAACAGATGACTGCAAGACACTCCCCTCTCTATCGCCTCACAGCCGGTTTTGGTCACTGAGGGCAGAAGGGAAGGAGGGTGGGGGCAGGGGAGATAATTATCAGTATAAATGAAGCCCTGCGAACGATTCGCACTGCTGGGTCCCCTGATATAGTCTCCAAGGCAACCTCAACACGCTCATTTGTTTTGTAGATGAGTAATTACATCCAATTAGTGGCCAGTGGAAAAAAGGAGTCCAAGAAAGGCCCATTGTTCTGGATAGATTGTGTGAATATTAATAGTGGGACGGTCTGAGGCACAGCGATATGATCGGTGATACTCATGCAGCTGTGGGCACACTCTGCCCATTCTCGTCCTGCATAACAGATCAGATAGCCACTGATGAAAATATATGGCTTTGCGAGTGTGGGCCTGCATGTTTGTGTCTCTGTTGTACTCCTGTGCCAAACAAAGCCAGTTTCCTACCTGAGCCTCCCTCACCAACAGCGAGCTCTAAATGTTTCAGATTTTATTTGCCACTATTTGCAGTGCCTTATTCCCTTATTTTTCTCTAACCGAGCCCTGCCCAGTTTGTGGTAATTGATACTTTTAAAGGCTAAATTGCTAGATTGGTGTTTATTGTCCTTGGCATGTGTTTGGTTTTTTTCTTCTTCTTTTTTTAATGAGTGATAAACTGTATGGATCTGCATCTGATCCTCAACCCCGTTGATTGTTGTATGTTTTTTGGCCTGTTGTGTTGCAGTTTTCCATTTATTGTTGTTGTGAGCTTCTTTTAGTATCATCCAACATCATTTTAAGACCTCTGGCTGCAACTGGTGGTTGCAGTTGTCACGTTTGAACAATTTTTCTTCCCAGTGGGCAAAAAAAGTCTTCTGTTCACATAAAACTTTAGTTTTCTGGGTAAGCAGAAAGTTGTTTAGAAAAACACAAAGGGTCTCACCGGGTTGGAACCTCACCTCAAATTAAAGGCTTCTCGTTATTTTTCATGTCAACCCTGGCCACAGGTTTAAAGATGCACCCACTTCAGCTGATTGCTTTTAACACTATTTTTGCTTCAGTAGCCCTAATACCGTAGTTTAATGTCAGTTTTGTCTAAACAATAATAACAGTAATTATCAACCTAAATCCAGCAAATCACCTACATCTACTCGAGAGTGTGCATGTCATCTACACCTTCCTAATGCTGCTACTTCACAAGATCACACTGATTACAATATGGTTCATTTTCAGCTGCCTTTATTGTCGGTTTTATATCGGATGAAAGTGACTTTGTTTTTTTATTGTACACTCACAAGGCGAGTTTGCACCATTTTAAACTGGTGATATATTTGGAATGGATTCCTTATGAATCCCTAATAACGTGGTTTGTGCTATTGTCAATGTTTTTCCCCATTATAATTATTCCATTGATCCAGCTTTTCCTCATTAGCAAGGCCAATCAATTTTCAGTGACATTTTTCTAAGTGAAGTAAATGGAATGATTGCTTCTTGAGCTTTGTTCAATGTGTCAGGCATTATGTGACGTACGTGGGAAGCCTGCCCTATTTGGAGCCTATAATTTGATGAGTGGGCAGACAGCCCACAAGTGGTGAGATCAGAGTGCTAAAAAGCATTGGCGGGGAGAAACATGGCTGGTGCTTACTTTCCATTTGGCAGAAGTGGACTGTCTCACTCTGAATGGGTAGAGGTGAAGTGGCTTTGAATGGCTATTCGCTCCAGGACCCAAATAAAAAAACAAACACACAGCAGGGGAAACCCAGCATGGAAAAGCCGGTGTCACCAATCTCAGTCCCTCCTGAGTAGATTAACTCTCTTATCAAAGAGGTGTGAGAAGGAGCAGTTTCTTTTAATTGCACTCTTTATATGAGCAGCTTGCCACAGATTAAGAGAACAAGCAATAAATGTCAGCACGACTTATTGCTGAATGACATTTTCTAAACTGTTGATAATCCACCATCTGTGTCAAAGAAAGAATTCGAAGAGGCCAATCTGAGACGTGCTCAGAGTACTTAGTACACTTGAGAATTCTTATCATCAATAAACATGAACGTGTCTGTATCTCATTCACATAAAAAGCTTATCAGTTTTTATTGGTCCAAAAAAAACGAGGGGTTTAAATTAATTATCGATCAGTGCGCTTCTGTGTTTCTTTTCATTTAAATGACAAAAGCTTCCTTCAGGTACGTCAAGTAAGAACTGTCGGTTTGAAATGAGAAATGTATTGACCTGCTTTGACCTGATTCTTAGATATATATATATATATTTTAGCTCACTCATTAATGCTTGCAAACAAACACCGGGACAGGTCAATTATGCAAAGCTGTGGCCTTACTGTGTATTTTGTATTTATTGCTTTTGGTCCATTTCAATTAAGTTAATGAGCAGTTTTTAATTATGTCCTTTCATGGAATTATTTTATACGTCCATTATTTTCGAGTTAGTGTATATACAATATAGCTGAACATAGCAAACACGGACCATATGCCAGGGGGTCTGGCCACATGGCAGGAGCTGCTGGGGAGGGAGGGCAGGGAGGGCCAACTAAAGCAGACAAAATATAAGGATGTGACCTTAAAATGGTGTAAAACACCATCGAGCTATGCTTATCAATCTGGACACTTTGACTATGACAATGAACAAGTTGATTTCCACAATGATGGAGTCCCCTCCCCTCCCCCTCCCCACCCTATACTGTATCTCCCAGGCCTCCCCGATTATGGGTTTTACTCTGCGCCCAGTGACCAGAGGGGGGGGCCCTGCTCCTTTGCTGACTATGGCTCCCTGGGGCCCCAAGCGGCTCAGATGCTGCACAGTGAGCATGCCACCTCCGCCTGCAACTCCCCCCTACAGCACCTACACAGCCCGGATCAATTTAAGAACCCAGGTTTGTATCTGAGCATCTATCTCATCCACATTTTGGACTTTTCAGTTTGATTCATGACATTTTTCCATGCAGATGATCTAATCTTTTTTATACACATATACATATTTTCTCTTACTTTTGTTGAGGAAAAAAAATCCCTTTGAAAAATGATGATTAAAAAATGTCTTGCTGACAAAGTAGTATTGCATGTTCTTCCTCCTTTTTTTTCTCCAGTTTTTAATGTAGATCTTTTGTTCCTTTGTGAAGTTATGTTCCAGCCCCTGCTTGCACATAAGGGGGTCGACATATACAGAATGTAATCCTTCATTTGCATGTGAACCAAATAACTACTGATGATGTCTGAGAGTACACTGGCCACTCTGACAGAGCTCAGGTTTATGTTAATTTGGAACAGCAAAGGAGAGAGCAAGTGTGGGAGTGAGTGCCATTTTTTTTCAGTCGAGCCCTTTAGGAATTCTTAGTGTAAGAGTGATTGCCGTATTATTAGTGTGTGAAATTGGTAGAAATGCTGTACAGTGTTGAACACTTAATAGACAACTTTTTTGCATAATACAGCCATTATTCCGCAACACAAGCACATTTTCTTCTTCTGTGCTTTTTTTCTGATCTTCTCTCTTATGTAATCATAGCTGTTAAAAAGCAAGGGATGAGACTAAGTCAAATGGAGTTCATGTTGCGATTTCAGAAACTGCGAGCTTTATGCAGATAAATTAAATATAATTTCAACCTGATATTTTTTGTTTGAGAGCAGACAGGAATTTTTAATATATGCTGACTTTTAAAATAAAAGTGTTTATGTCAAAGGCGTGTCGTGGTGATGGCGGTCTTCTGACTGTGTTTTTACAGACTTGATGTCCCAACAGTGTTTCTTTCATTAAATTCCTGCTTAGTGGAATACCGTCATGAGATCATGGGAACCCAGTGTAGAATCATCCAATCAACCACCACTCTGGCTGTCTTTCCACCCAACAGTATAACTGTTTAAAAAAAAAAAAAAGACAAATATACATATAGAAAGCAAAGCGATTTGTCCTGTCAGTCTTTTTGGGCTGAGGGCATGAGTGCGGGCAAGATTTTTCCCCCTAATGGTTAAAGTGTTGGCCAGCTGCCCCCGGCAGATGTTGGCATTTACTACAGGCTGTCTGTGTAACCTTTAGTACAGCTAGCAGACAAAAAAATGCACAAGACGAGCCTTTTAAAGACAACAAATTACAGAGATGTAACTTTGTGGAGTTGTAAAGGAATTGTTGGTGGCTTTTGTGATAATACTTGTGCACATGAGGCAGCAACATCAGCACTAACTGTTTGAGAAAACACTTTTCTTCTTATAGATTTGCTAAGCAACACAGACAGTTTGATGGGATAAACATCTATATAGCAGGGGGAAAGAGCTGATTTCTTCCCATCACTGCAAGTACACATCAATCGCCCTTGTCTGTCGATTGTGAGGCTAAGTGACGTGCTGATTTATAGTATTTGATAGGCGATTTGGAGCAGTTAAGTAAAGAGTAAAGAGGTGTTTTGGTCAAAAGTCATGTTGCCTCAGCTCTTTAGCAGCACCTAATGAATATGTGTCTGCTGCACGCATGGCCCCTGAAATATTCTATGAGTTGTTGAAGCTGAAGCTTGTCTCACCTGAGAGGGCACGTTCAAATCCTGAGTGAGTCAGCGTAGCTTAATTCCGTCATAGCACGTGGGCGTTGTTTGTGGAATAGACTTGGAATCTGCAGCCAACCTTGAGCCTATGTGAAATTCAGAGACATTTAGTTGTGGGTGTTTTGAAGGAGATAAAATTAAATCAGAATGTTTGACAAAAATGTAATTGACAAGTTTACAAAAACATCCGGAGATGGCAACTCCCACCAAGTGCAAGTGCTACCATCGTCATAGGACGTAAAAAAAAAAATGATAATAAAAAAATAATAAAAATCTCTCTCCATGCTTTTTCATGAGATATATTTTTCAATATGGTTTCTTAAAATTTTATTTCAAGGTCAACTTTGACCTTGGTGCTAACAATGAAGGTCAAGGTCAAATGCTTAGCCAACCTAGGTACTCATGTCCTCCGAGGCCTAGTATACTGTTCTAAAATTTGAAGACAATCCATAAAAAAAATTGTGGGTAATATAAAGGGTTTAAAAAAATTTTTTACATTTAGTGTGACCTTAACCTTAAACCAATTTTCATTAAAATTGTTATTTTAATTGTTATTGGTATCTACCGTCCCACAACATTTGAAAATGATATCTTGAAAACTTTAAGATTGCTAACAAACAGACAGACAAACGAACAGAACCGATTAAAAGCTTCCTCCCTTCAAAGGGCAGAAAATTAGATTTAAAGATATGAATTCTTTAAATAACTGATCGTATCTGTTACAAACACAAGTTCGATCATTTTTCTCTCCAATCTTTTTTTTTGTCTTTATGAAAAAAGGATGTATATTCCAGATAATAACAGAAAAATGTGTTACAGTGGAGTCTGGCGTTCTTTTGGCTAAATGCACAAACCACTGCAGCCTCTACATCAAAAAATTACTTTCACTGACAGAGGGGTGAGCTGCACTCCAATAAAAATCACCAGTTATAGGAAATGAGGATTGCCATTTCAACTGGAAAAAAAAATCCTTAATTATATAATAAGCCAGCCTACTGGGGGCTGTGTGGGCAAGATAAGCGCACTAGCAACTCTCCGTTTAAAGTCCTTACAGTTACAGCAGTGTCAACTCCACTAGATATATGTTTAGTGAGATGGCTTCATTTTCCTAGAGTGCCACACATAAATATCTGAAGCATGCTTTGAGGTGCTTCCAGTGAACCTAACCTGTCTGTTGCGGCTTTGATAGATGGAGCGGTGATACGTTAAACAAGGTGACAATGATAGTTAGTTTACCATGTGTGTGTGTGTGCGTGTCTCCATCAGCGCGTTGGAGCCACAGCAGTCACACTGTGTCTTTTTCCATGCTCTACAAAGACCTCCTCTCAGGCATCACAGGGTTCATGAGCTAATATATATACACAAGATGGAGCATTTTCTGTGGTCAGAGGATTTTTCTTTTTAATGCAGTTGCACAGTTTTTTTTTTTCACAGTTTGTCTGTGAATAAGGGTGAGATGGAGGGTTATGCGAAGCTGACAGCAAAGGAGATTGCTGTTAAGAGATCACTGCATTTTTCTTTCTCCCCGGCTGTTTTTCCTTGTATTGCTAGTGTTATTGGCCTTTAGCAGGCATATGGATTTTCAAAAGGCATTTTATTATACTGAGTTGCTCTTACTCACAGGGCAAAAGGTGGTAAGTCATGTACAGTATTTCTTTTTTATCCCCCACCCTACAAGTTTGGACCTGCCGACGAACTCGGGTCAGGCTTTTATATTTCCTCCGTTTCCCTCCTTCTCTTGCCTGACATACCCATTTTATTTTATGCTGGAAGTTACTCTTGCAGACTAAAAAGTTGAAAAGTGCTAAATATTATATGATTTTGTTTTTTGTTTTTGTTTTTTGGGGTGGGGGGGTATACCTAATGAATCATATAAGAAAATAGAAGGTAGTATTTCAAATTCTGGGCCTCAGAATGCTCACCAAAAATTTCAGATCCTCATAATCCTTTGTTCCTCTACTTATGCTACAGCCGATGTCGCTGTACAAGTACTCCTTCACATTATGCATGTCAACATTTACACTGCAACCTTACTAGTTTATTAGCATGATGGAAGTATTTTTAGCAACGTGCCTGTTTTGTGTTGTGCATGACTATACAAAGTGAATGTTATTCCCGTGCATAATACACGCAGCATGTAGATTATATTTAGATATACTCATACTGGATTCACCCCTAATTTTGCTTGTTTGGTATGAAATTAAGCCAAAATCCTGCACCATTTTTCAGTCGATTACAAATTAAATTGAACGCGCAGTATCAAATACAGTAACCTGTAATATGAGCAAGCCCTTCAAGACAAACGTATGAATCCAGTAATGCGTTCTTTTGATTTCAATTTGCCCATTGAGTCACAAGAGTAAGGATATACTGATCTTTGTTGGGGGTTTCTGAGCTGCTCCGCTCCTCGCTGTGTTTGTATGCAGGTGCCAACCCGTCAAGGCCCGGAGGTTTCCCCGGCGCTAATAGTCCAGGGCCTGTGGCTGACCTATATGGACCTAGCAGCCAGGATTCAGCTGTGGGCAACTACATCAGTGCTGCTAGCCCTCAGCCTGGCTCTGGCTTTGGCCCCAGCATCACAGTAAGTACTAAAATTCTGACTGCACCTCCTGCTTCTTCTTCTGCACTAAAATTAGACGTTAAAAAAAAATGCAAATGGGCTTCAATTGCAACATTCCGTAAAGCAGCTCAGTGTTTGCATAAAAAGTAGCATTTATTCTTTTACTGAATTGACTAAAAGTAATCACTGCCAGCCTCTTAGAAAATATCCAGGGAAGCATTTTTGCTGTCAGGTTCAGGGCTCCCATAATAATGTAGTACATCAGTGTTAAACCCCATCGCAGCTCTGTAAGTTATCTGTGTCAAAAGCAAATGTTTTTCCCCTCTAGCTGTTGCACAAATCACCTCACTTCAGATCCTGCATCACCTGCCCAGAACAAATTTCTTTTATTTTTAGAACCCCATCTGTCCCAGAGCTGGAGTTCACTCCATCGCTAGGACGACGCTCCCACACAGGTTTTTGTGTCTCCCAGTGCCCTTGTCCAGTTAGGCTTGCTCGGCCACATGCTGTTGCACTTTCTTTTCTCTCTGATCGGTTAGCAGCTGGTCGCCAAGTCAGTGCATAAGTGTTAGGACTACAAAGGCCAGAAGAGGTGATGGTAATAAAGAGAATATTGTGAGGGATTTCCCCATCAGAGTGCTAATAATCCCACCTTCCTTTGAAGGTGAAGAAAAAGACATTAAAATTCTGCTCTCAAGCTCCGTGTTCTCTGTGAACCGATCTATTATCATAAGTGTTGGAGAGATCATCTTAAAGCCAGTAGAAACATCTTTACTTCTAAAAGGAACTCTAAGAAGAAGGTTTAGCCATTCAGATTCATTCCTCTTTTTTCCCGTGTTTTCCCAACATTGCAGCAGTTTGAGTCTATGCAGGGTGGAAACCTAGCAAGAGCTAGTTTACTAAAGACATGTGTAATGGCTTAACAAGGATTATTTCTACATTCAAAATAAATGAGACTTAGCAGTCAGTTCCCATCATAAACTACTCCCTCTCTGTTTTTTAGCATTCCTAAGACAGTTTTCTGAGAGCAGCCAAAGACTGAATGAGCCAAAGTAAAATCTGATGTACTTAGCTTATTTACTGTCAATAAAGGAAAAGGCTCAAACGCCACGAAAGAAGACCCAATCAGCACTTTGTTTACTCGTACGTTAGTCTACCTTCGACCTCGCCGAGTAATTAAATTTTTTTACCGTGTGAATTTTCTGTGCAGCAGGATTTCAGTTCACATCGGAGCATGTTTGTGCTGCTTTACATGACTGAACTGAGTGACACAGTGTAAACTATAAAAATAACACCTGCTTTCTGGAACAAGCTCATTAATGCATGGCCTAACTGAGACGGAATAACGACAAGCCCATTAGTACAGCGAGCGAGTGCCGAAAAGACTACAGGGTGAAGACGCTCGTTCCAAACTTTATAGTCCACATCATTAACTTGAATTTCATGCTACAGTAAACAGATATTTATCTATTTATTTATTTAGGTGATCCTCTGGTTGTGGTATTTTGTGGTGCTTTTTTCTTTTTTTTAAATCTAAGCCTTTGTGGCAAACTGTGGCTTATGCTGCATTCTGAAATCACACATTTTCTGAGAAGTACCAGATCTGAGATTTATCACGTTGTGCGCTTGAATCAGTTGAACTAAGTGCGGCGGTTTAGCGAAGATGTCGTGAATGTGACGCTTGCAATATACGGCTGTAATGCCTTGTTGCTATTGGATAGTGTCACAAATGTACAAAACAGGTAAAAGAGGTCGTTTAGATGTTTGCAGCCGTGCGTAATTGATTTATGATATCCATGCAAAGCAGAGCTTAAGAGAAAAAAAAAACCCAACATTTTAAAGCCTTTTTCCTCCCTGAGCAAAGCCCCTATTATTAATTGTTTTAGGTCCACTGGCTATCTGCTTTAATCTGGTCTCAGTGTAGGAAGCAAAATATTTGCTATGAAACACCACGCTGGCTCATTTTCAAGGCAGATTTACCGGCAGATAGTTCACAGATGGAAATGAGGCCATTTGTTACAATTATTTTCCATTTGTTGCAACAGTTTGTAGCCATAGTTTATTACTGAGTTAGAGAATAGAACAAGTCTTTCAACCCCCCCACCCCAAAAAAAACAAAAAATTCTGAAGAGATGAGATTAATATTGAAGCAGCAAAGTGCAGCTGATTTATGAAAGAGGTGGGTGAAGAATACGCGGTGTATTTTACCAACATTATTCAAGCCGGGCCTTCTGATTCCCTTACAGAGAGTCAGTTTTTGCCCATAATGCTACTAGACTAAATCACCACTTCAGAATCACAGCGAATCAATAAAGGAGAGGTGATGCAGCAGGCCTCTGACTTCCTGCTCCAGCCGAGATGATCTCTCTATTCAGAACATTAAAATAGGAAATGATTCAGAACTAAAATTCGCTTCATAATTTACTTTACCGAGGACGCCGTTGAACCGAGCGCATATAAGATCGTCATATCTCAGGAGCTCACGGATGACTTCAGATTCACCGATTTGTCCTTCTGTCTCACGCTCCACTGATTTTATTAATCCCTTTAGCCAGTACGAAAACAGCTACTGCGAAGAAGCTTTAATGAACTTAACTGTTTTTTTATGCAAGACAATTAGAGCGCAATTAGCTGATTGAGGTGATAAAGACAAGCAAGCGCTGCTGAAAGTGCTTCTCTCCTTTTCACTGTTGTGTTTGAATCCAATCATTTTTTACAGACCTGTCAGTAGGAAAGCTCACAGTGTCCTGATAAGTGAGCCTCAGTAATAAAAGCCATTCAATAGTCAGAAGCACACTGATCTTACTGAAGGCTGTTTATGATCCTATTCTCGGCATTCTTTCAGATGAAATCACTTGTGTATGTTAGCATGAATGGGGATTGTGTGTATTATTACATATTTTGTATTTAGATCCTGTAATCTGAGTGCTGCATTGTTATAAGAGCTTGCATTATTAAATGCAGTATGAATCATTTACTGTACAGAGCATATCTAACTGTTTTTAATATCTTTTAGCGTTACGTGGGTTTTTCTTCCTGTTGTAATGTTGCAAATATTCTTTTTGCAAGAGTGTGAAAAGAGTTGGTTTGATATTTCAGTATTCTCCTGCTCTGCTACTCAACATGATCACAACATTCACATTCATGCTAGCTGTGAAAAAAAAAGAAGTTGATATGATACTCACTTTTCTCTCTTTGAAATGCATACTGACAAAAGCACTAACTGTACACTTTTAGGGCCCGTTGATTGCGACAGCTTTTACAAATGGATACCATTGAACAGGTGGCCGGTTGCCATCTCATCAGAGGTATTGCATTTTATTTACTGTGCATTTCTATCAGTATCTATCTGTACTATGTGTTCATCGCATTAATCGTTGTTCCTTCTTTGGGGAAACACAGAGCTGGTAGTAATGTGTGAGTGTGGCGAGGTGGTTTGTTTGAGGTCTTTTTCCAAAAACAAATAAATACAACTGATAAAAAGGACAGAAGATTAGCAGACATTACGAGAATTTTAATCATTTTGTGATTGTTTATGAAGGAAAGCTTCATATATCGGTTACCCGCACACATACTACCGGTTCTTCAGTTTTTCTTTCCTCCTTCTTTTCGACATTTTGAAATGTTTCCATCCTAAAATAGTCACATGTCTTTGTAGAAAAATCATATGTTGCTTACTTGCTATTCAACCAGAGGGGATGTCACAGTTTAAAGTGTTTTTGACCTAAGCTCTGGCTGTCCAAGGACAGGACTCTCATTACAATTCTTTCACAACTTTTTAAATCGAAACTGCAAAATCTTTCACTAACAAGCAGCCGAGGTGTAGGAAGAATCTTTGAGGAAGGGAATTGCTTATTACTACATGACCTTCTTTTTGCTAACACTGTCCCTCATATGTACAGCCACAATGTCATATATAAAACCTTGTCTGCCCTACAGATACTTGTAGATGTTTGATGTGCATAAAATGTATTTTTGTATACGTTTTTAAACGTCCACAGCACGATATACCACACCTGCCACTTTATTAGGTACGTCAACGAGGATAACGAACATGGGTATGTTGTGGTCAAAGATCAGGTCAGATCAGTAACAGTAGGCTAGGCTGTAGCATTTAAACAGTGCTCAGTCGGTACCAATAGGCCCAAAGTTGGCAAAAATTATCACCGTCACACCACAACCTGTAGCCTGAAATGTTGATACAAGGCAGGATAGAGCAATGCTTTCATGTAGTTTCCACCACATTCTGGCTCTACCATCAGAATAAATTTTTTTTCCCCAGTTTCTACTTTTGAGGTTGGTGACCCCGTGCAAACTGTAGCCTCAGTTTCCTGTTCTTATCTGACAGGAGTGGCAGGCAATGTGGTCTTCTGCTGCTGTCGGTTTAATTCCATCTAACCAATCAGCTACTGGCATGTGATTGGCTGATTAGATATTGGTATGAGCAGATATATCTAATAAAGTGGCAGGTCAGTATATATGCACAAATGCTAAATTAATAAGCCGGTTAAGTATATAGTGTGGTATTTGTGACAGCCTAGACTTTTTGTTATTGGACAGGCTATTTTTACAGTAATTGGTGCTTCTGTTATGCTTGCAGGAAATTTTGACCTGTAGCAGTTTCTTAGAATCATATCCCAGTTATTCATGCTTCAGCAAGCCTGCAAAATGCGTCACAGCGAGTATTATTTATGTTCGAGACTTACTCTAATTAAATGTTTGCTTTCTAATGCTGTTGTTCCTTTTTTTTCTTCTTTTTTTTTTGTTGTTGTGTTTTTTCCTTTATCACCCAGCAGAGTATATCTGGTGGCCCAGGAAAGACAGGACGAAGTTTCTAATTGGCTTTGTGTGCAGGTGATGCTAATCCAACTTCAAGCACTACAGCGTCACCCCGGCAAAACGAACGAAAGTCGGAACCATATGAAGAAGAAAAGAAAATGTTTATCATCTCAGAAAAATAACAACTGCTGTACTATACTCCAAACCTCCTATAACTTTACAACCTGGTTTGGTATGATGTTTCACGTCGAGTTCATTCACCTACTTTCTTCCTCTGTTAGCTTTTCTTTTGATTAGCTTTGAGAGAGTCGTTTTAGTTGAACCTTTAATTTTGTGTCGTTTTTATTTTATCTTCTGGTATTGTTGTGTAAATCTTTTTTTTTTTTTTTTTGCTTTTTTTCGTTTGAAGTATGGCGGTCATAGCCAAGAATATCTTCAAAGTCACGTCTTCATCTTTGTACTGGTGAGTCTAAAAGGAAAAAAGCTCGGGATGTTTCATTCAGTCTTTCTGCAAAAAAAAGAAAAGAAAGAAAACACAAGAAAAAAAAAAGACAAGCTCAGTGCAGAAAGACTCGGAGAAGAAAAAAAAACATTTTAAGGAAATTTTAAAGAAGGTATCTAAGTAATAAATCTTAGTAGCTGTTTTATTTCTTGTGATGTCTCATTGTTAACCATAATTACCTATTTTTGGGCAATACAAAGAGGACTCCAATATTTTTATGGTCCTTTTTTATAAGTGTTGTTTTTGTTGTTTAGAAATATATATATATGCTATAACAAATTTCATATAACTACATTGTGAATTCAAACTTGAGAAAAAGAAATGTAGCTGTACATATTATTCCAGTCACTGCATATAACCAACTCAGTGAGAGAATAGCATATTTTTGTGATGGTGTGTCAAAAGAACATGTTATAGCGTGTGAATAGAAGACAAAGCTGTAAACAGTTATTATTCTACTTTTTTTTTTTTCTGCTGGAAGACGGTATAACAACCCCACACGGAAACAAACACACGAACACACACACGCCTAGCACACACACACTTGCTCTGTAAATACTGAAGCTGAATAATTTTACAAGTGTCATACCAGCAAAATTTACAAGCGGTGAGTCAACACAGTTTTGGAGAAATAATAATAATAATAATTTAAAAAAAATAAAGAGCCTGATTGGTATCTTTTTGTCTAACTGTTACAGTATCAGTATCATTTCAAAGAGAAAGTTTAAAAGAAAAAAAAAGATGATTAAATCCAAAGCACACTGTACTTAGATGTGAAGATTAGAACTTGAAGCAGGCTCTGCGCATCCTGACACTTTTCTACTCTTGAGAGGAACTTGTTAGCTGCAATGTTGATGTTTGTTTCATCCTGCACGTTCCCGATTAGTTCTTTTTCTTTTTCTTTCCTTTGGAACACAACACCTGGGCTCTGTGCTCGAGTCTTTATGTAACGCTCATTGTCCGACTCAGATCTTTTTCTTTCTTTTTTTTTTGAGTGAATTAGGAAAGTAAACGTTTTGATACCATACCTCAGCCTTCCTGAGTTCTCTTATGGAATCATTGGCAGGTTTTTTAATTTATTCTAGTGGCAAAACAAATGAAAACACTGAAAGATAATTAAGCAAGTAATCATTGCACTGTGAGTTGTAAAGTACAGGCCATTTTTTTCTATTTGCACATGTATATGTTGGCTTTTTTTAAAAAAAAAAAAGAAAAAGGAAACTGCCCTGTGCTTTGGGATAGCATGAAGGATTTCGGAGCTAGTGTGTTCTCGACTAGAAAAAACACTTGAGCGTTTTGAGGCGAGTTCACAGCGTGGGAAGTAGTAACTGGTTATGTTGCTGTGTACACTTGGATTTCTTTATAGAGTAGACCCATGTCTCATCTGACGATATTTAATACGGGGTCAAAAGATGACACTGAATAATTCACTATCTACCACTGCACCGGGTTTTCCGCAGTACGTGTGGTCGATGGTTTTACTCGTGATGATGATTTATTAATAATAATCATAATAATAATAGGCTCCAGTATGCGTTCAAGTTTTGAAATTCGATGCCGCCGCAGATGCGTTTGCTGTTTTCCTTTTACCCGCGTCTCGTCTCGTCTCATTTCTTTTCCTTTTAAAACAACCAGGTAAAGAACTATGCTGGATTACTTTTAAAGTAAACGATACGGAGGTGTGATCGAGTAATAATTTAAACAGTCAAGAGAAGAAGAAGAAAAAAAACAACTTGTAATGTTCAAATGTAAAAGAAAATAAGAAACACAAAACTATAAAAAAAAAAAAGATGCTTCTTTGCTGATTTCAAGTTTAATCAGAGTTTTATTGATACTTTGTGGTTTATATATTAATAATTGTAATATACTATTAAAATGTACTGTGCATCCATTACTTTCTCTCTTTCCATTCCCCATCCTCAGAGATCCTACGATATTTTGTTGCTCATTCATGTACTTCATTAGTGTGTAAAGAAATCACAGTTAACTTGTAAACAGAGTGCTGTCTTTGATACCAGTGTAGTGCTCTTTGTTGTTCTCCCTTGCTCTACCTCTCCTTTCTCTCATATTTATCCCTCTCCCTCTTGCGCTCTTTTTCTATCTCCTGTAATTACAAAGTAGATGTTATAGAGGACTCATTAATATAATACTTGTAGTGAATAGTGGATTTAGGACCAGTCGAGATATACCTTTCTCTCAACGATCATGTTATTCTGGTATTTGCAGACAGTTATTTTGTTAGAGGTTCATTGTAATTTTTCCCTGTATGTTTTTTTTCTTTTTCTTTTTTCTTTTGGTTTGGTTTTGCCACTCTCACATGGTTTCAGCTAACCAAAGCTCTCATGGATGAACAATAGAGAAATAGTTGCTGTAAGATGGAATTGTACACAAGGCATTATTTGGATCCCCACCCTTGAATGTTTTTAAAGGGGTGTGCCATACTACCTTAAATGCTAATGCTAGATATGCAAAACTTTTGTGTTTGATTGTTTCTTTCCTTTTTTTTTTTTCAAGAGGGACACAAGCTGAAATCACGGGAAAAAAAAAAACAATTTTTACTTAAGATATTTCATATTTTTTTAAGAGACATGCGAGTTATTACCACATACGTCATCAGTCACAGAGCTGTTTAAAGAGCCTCTTCTATCTTTTAATGTTTGTACACTTTGCAGATATCCCAGGCTCCTCTGGTGTCATTTTTTTTAGATGATACAGTTTTTGAGCTCTTATTTATTTGGGAACTGTTAATGACTTTTTTTAAAATCTTATTTGAATCTGTTAACAGTGTTTCTGACACTACAGAGGCATTACTGACACACACAGAGAAACACTGCAAATACTGAACAGAGAACCATTAGAGGAATATCAGCAGGTGCTGAGGGGTGTCGAGTTTGTCACGTCTGATTAATAGACAGTTAAATTCCTGTCCAGAGTTGGACCTGCAACCTGAAGCTGTGATGCATTGCCAAGCTAGAATAGATTATTATTAACAACCGTGTCAAAGGATGCCTGGACTTAACATGTTTAGATTTACACGAGCAAAAACAAACTTATTAAAACAATGGGATTGCTGCTGAAGCCGCTGCTTGGACCCCTAATACAGCCAGTGCAGTTGAGCCTTTTTGAGCATAATCTCTGTTTGCTAATTTACTGGCTCTTTAAATTAACGGTTAGTATTACCCTGTTGTTAATAAGTTAACATTAGTGCGCTCTTTCTTCCTAACCAGTCTGCACACAGCACATAGAGTACACAGCAGCTTTGTCAGTGATGCTAATAAGTTATCTTGTTTTGCCTTTTTTCTAAAGTAAATGATGAAAGTAAATGATCTTTACTTTACTTTCTGAAAGTAAAATTGTTCTTTTTTAAAAATTAAAATTAGGCAGCGGCCAACTATCGCATACGTCAGTATCTTAGCGAGGTAGAGTGATCACTCACTTTAGAAAAATGCAGTATTTGTGGAAAAGGTTTTATTGTTTGAAATATAAATGTATTAATAGCAGAAGAACAATAACTCAACACAGTTTGGTTATAATTTAATTCTCAAAGTAATAAAGAAATTCCTCCTGTTCATTAAAATATTTTAATTGTATAATTAACTCAAACGCAACCCAGTCGCGTTCCAGTTTTCTTGGCGTTTTTTCCAAACAGCATATACCGGAGCAGCAAGCACACACTACACTGTGCTGTCGCGGTGCCTGTCTTAGTCTTAGTCTATAATTAACCCTTTTTCACTGGAAAGAAGGCTTGAAATGGCTTGTTTTCCCTCACACAATATCAAAATTGACTCTTCTATTGTTTTGTGATCCTGTAGCTTGGACTTTAAGGTAGCATGGCTCTGTTGCTGTAATTTCATTTTATCTCAAACTGACAGCAGTTTACAGCTGATGAATGTTACACATCTTAGTAGACTAGCTTATCCATTTGGGGAGAGGGGAGGGGACTTGGTTTAAGAAAAAAAAAATAATCAAAAAAGAAAAAAAGTCAACCTGGAAGGTGTTGACATTTGTAGTGTACTACCGTATCCATTTAAACTTGAATCTCGAGGCAAGTGCTAGGCAATGGCCAAACAACCCCATCAGTTCGAGGTGGGGGTGGGGGGGGATCCCACCCTGAAACCGTACACACTTATGGGATTTCTGTCATCCTGGGTTCACAAGCGTTTTCTGAATATGAACAAAAGTTTCCTAAAAGCTGGAACACCAGGCTTTACAGGCTCCATTTCCAATGAATCAGACAGACTTTGAAGGCTCATTGATTGTTCTTGAGCATTTTTATCCAAAAAGAGGCTTACTCATAGTGGTGCTAATGGTTTTTTTGAAAAAGCAAAAAACCAGACAGTGTGCCCTTATCTCTGAGAGATACTGGATACCGTCACAGTGAACACAAAGTTAGCCAGTTCACAAAGTGACTCTCGCTAACAACGCTATTTAACGTTTTTTTGGCTCGATATATCAAAGATCAGTTCATGTTCACAAATCTGGACTGAACTCTTCAAGGTGACGGAAATGGCACAAGTTTGCCTGTACTACTGTGTTTTTGGGGTGAACTTCCCCTCCAGTCCAAACCATTGCCATCTCACGCCATGCTCATCGCCAAATATATACATATAATTGCAATATATATGTATATAGATGAATATATATACTTGCAATTCACGCTCATTTGAACTGAATAATATTAGACTGGAGACCTCAGCTGTATACAGAATAATCCTCGTCACACAGCCACGCCCAGGTTCATTTAGTCCACTCATCATTATTGGTTCGCCATCATGCGAGTTCTCCCCCGGCGTGTTGTCGAGGTTGGAGTGGACCGCACGGCCACGCGGGGTGTCCAGAGGCTCTTCAGACTGCACGGCCTGCAATGTGAGGCTCTGCCGTGTCTCCGCAGGCTGAGCGCAGAGCTCTCTCCACCGCTGTCTGCCCATTCCTAACACTTGCCCCTTTTTTTTATGTTAACCGACTTTTTATGGCGAGAGACAGACAGACTTGACTGACATCTGAAAGCATCTTTCAGGTTATCATATGGCTTGCTCAAGCCCTGTTGTAAAATATACTAAAATAATAATGATAATAATAATGGATGGGGGTCTCTCACATATCAAATGTGGAAAGTCTAATTTTATATTTGTATTTTCAAATAATAATATTGACAAAAAAATGTCTGTGAAAGGTTTCCATCCTCTACTGTGGTCCAGAAATCGATGTGTCTGTCTGGAAAATAAATAAAATAAACTGAATTGTTATATGACTTCTTTCCACTGTTGCGTTGTATTTGTGTTTTTCTGAACCCAAATGTCACAGCATTTCAAAATCAGTGCATATTTGCGGGAAACTATCACTATTATATCACAGAATTATGTTTATTTTCTGTTTATTTTATTTGATTTTTTAAAAAGGGGATAATATCGTACCGCATTTTGACCGGACCACACACACTGAGCATGTTATCTCCTGAGATCCTTTGAGGTCTCTCATAAGTCAGCAGGATTAATAGCCTAAGATGCATTTGGGGAAAATGTTGAGCAAACAAAGACTGACGTGTAATTCTGCTGCCCCTCAGTGGTCTCTCGCAGCGCCTGAGAAGATGCAGTGCTTTCAGGGAAGCGCATTCGCCAGTGCCTTATTCTTCATCAGCGTCACATGGAGAGCATCAGCATTAGCCGAGGCTCAGTGTATAAATGGCTGGGGATGTGATTGAGTAGATGAGCAAACAGGCTGCTGCATGACAGGCCATTTCAGGGCCTTACAATAGTACCTTTTGATGCGTTTGTCACGCTGTGCTTAGTTCTGCTTCTTCCCGAGATGGAGAATTTAACCTCAGATGGCAGAAGCAAAAATCTGATTCCGAGTCATTTTCTGAGGTGAAACACTTGACAATGAAGAAAAAATTCAGCTGCTTTCTGACTGGATCGTTCCATTTTTTCACACATTTTTTACTGAAGCTAACTCACAGACACACTGAGGATAACAATAGTGTATTGAGTTCACGACAATAGATTTAAAGCACCTTTTTTTGTATATGTTTACCGTGATAGATGGCAATAGTTAAACATGACGCCGGTGGAATTCAGGGATCAGGATTTTTAATGTGGGTGCTTGTCAGGTGAGACCGACGGTCCGACAGCTCCATCACTCACTTAGACACGGCAATCCATAAATTCAGACTGAGATCAATACTCTTGGCTCAGCTCTGTTTTTCACAGCCGAGGCACTGCGAGTTTAGATCACGCTGCATTCATTTTTGTGTTTGTGTAATGAGCACAATGATGATCCAATTTGGCAGTGTGGGCTGTTTCACTTTCTTACAAAAGAAACTGCTCTGGATTGTCTTGCTGTCTGTCAGCGGAATTGACTCTTAGATTTAAAGAAAACAAAAGCAAACATTAATACAGGCGAAACTTTAGAAGCAAAGATGGTAAATATGAAAAATGGCTTAACCTCAGGCAGATGTGAACAGAGTTTGTCCAGACTCTGGTCACTGTAATTAGCAGACAAATCTGTCAAAGAGCCGATGCTCACGTTGACTGTGTTTTTAACTCAGAGGCCTAACTGCTTGACCTTTCCAGTCCACCTGCCTTTAATTAAGTGCTAATTAAAAGTGCCATTATGATCAGAGAGCTCTACACTCGTCGGCCCTTAAACACAAGGATTCGGGTCTTTAGTGGAACTCTGCAAGACAATCAGCAGTCATGGGAGCTAAATGTCAGCTCACAGCGGAGAAAATGAAGCTGTAATAAACTGTGAAATCAAAGTTTGCTTTAAAGTAAAAATACTATAAATGATATTTGAGCATGAGCCTCTATACTGTGAAAATGTATCTCCTGTTTCAAAAAAAAAGGGTAAATATGAAAGGGGCTAAGGGTCGTGATTAGCATTATCCAAACAGACACAAACACAGATCATAGCAAATATGTGGGGCATATAGCAGCATGTCACAGGCTCATTTGATGGCCTCACCTCATACCAGTCGCACTGTGCAAATTTCCCATGGGCCAGCACTAACAGGCTGAATGTGACAGCTCCTGGCAAACACAAAACAAGCCACAGTGCACGGAAATGCCATTGCGAGGATGCAGCATGGCAACGACGGTGGCGATGCTGAGGTCGCTGTGGAGGTGTAATGAAGAAGTTCAAGAGGTGGTCCATTTCCACCTCCGTGTGCCTGAAAAGCAGAGGGAGAGAGAGCGGAAGAATACCTTTCCGCCATGCATATTCATGGCGTGATGTGGTGCTGCAGGAGACTCGCATCCCCCATCCTCAGCCTGCGAGGACACCTCAGAGCCCCTCAGCACTTATTAACGGTAATTAAGAGCTAGTCTGAGATGCTGGCAATGTTTAATTGCCAATTACAGGTAGGTTAGCTATAGATGAAAATGACAGCTATTTATGTATCACATCAGCCTAAATCATCAAGTTGTGTTTATGCCTTGAAAATGGGAAAGGAATGAAAGGTTGGGAAGCATCCAGGATCCTCACACGAGCCTGGCATTGTAGGAATTCAAGTGCAATAATGAGCAATGTTCAATGGATATGCACTTAATTTTATGTGCATCACTAAATTATCTCCCCACACAGCCATGTAATGGTTGCTCCTCTTTTGAAGCGGAAAATTTTTTTGACAGTGCTGTGTAATAGAGTCAATAGTTGATGAGAAGACTGCTGTGGATGGGGAGATGAGGCACTCAGGTGGCTGTTTCCTCCCAGACTCTGGGCCTAATGTAGCCTTTGGCATGGAAATTGACGTGACATTGATGGGCACTCTCCCGCCAGCAGAGAGTCATGTGCCTGCACAGCCTTCCAATTCGCTAATAATTGCTGATTAAAAACTAGTTAAGAGTCCATGAAAACTCAAATATGCATTAACCAAATGACCTTCTGGGAATGGCAAACGTCTGAAGCCAAGAGCACAGGTGCTTTTCTAGTGCGGGCTTGGATCGTGGATCGTTGTTTAAGAAACAAATGGGAACGTACTGAATTGTTCTACTGAGCTTTTAGGAAATTACTTTTATTACGACCCCATCCTCACTCTGTTGTTTCACAGCTCACATCACCTTTCATTGCAGAATATTACCGTATAGTCTCTAAAGTTTTAAATAACTTCAGAAAAATTATATTAAGTAGCATAATCCAATAGATTAGGCTTTAGTTTTTATAGGTGGCAGCCTGTTAGACTATAGATTATGAACAATCTAAATCAGGATAGTTTTGCTTTAAAAATTGCAACAGATGTGATAACTGTAATCTCATTACTTTCATATGTTAATTATTACTCTAATATAAATTATGCTAATTACAATTTGTTGCGAGGGTAAGGATTATCACACTACTGTTCTACCCAGTGAAGGTTTTGACAGCATTTATATCACCTCATTAATACAATGCCATTGTTTTGTCTACTTCTAGTTTGTTTCTTTTATCTGCTGTCATAGATGTGCCTCGTTGAATATACATATATAATATATATAATCATTTTCTCCAGTAAAGTATGCTTTTGCATTTGAATTCTTACAGGTGAGGAAAGACGCTGTGTCCAGTCTATTTTCAGCCATTATAGTGTCTGTAATTTGAGAGAGTGTGTGTAGCCAGCAGCATGAAAAGCAGGGTAGACCATGAGCTAAGTGACTCAGAAAATTCACATATTGTGCCCCTATTTTCTCTCATATTATCCACCAGATGAAGCATTACATGCTTACAAAGGCCATCAGTTTTGGCCCCCGACTACAGAGGATGCAGCTGTCTGTTCATTGTTCATCATCATTGTCTTCATGGATCTGATGATGCTCCCGAATCAATAGTTGCCTCAGAGCAAACTAGTGAGCAACAGACTGTAGAAGCAGGCGAGAGTGACAATTATCACTGGAGGACAGAGTGAAAATACAAAGTAGGTGTCAAGGGAGGCGGGGGGGTTGGGGGGGTATTGGTGTTGATGGGATCATTACCAACGGATTAATGGTTCTTTAGCTGGGGACTACAAAATGCTCAGATAGAAAAATATACGATCTAATCACCCAATCACAACTTGGTGCATTTAGGCATGCTGTCAGCACAACCTGCTGAAGTTCAAACTCAACATCAGAATGGGGAAGAAAGGTGATTTAAGTGACAATGAATGTGGAATCATTGTTGGTGCCAGATGGGCTGATCTACTGGGATTTTTCCCAAACAACTATCTCTAGATTTTACACAGAGAAAGTCTGACAACAACAACAAGTACACATATATATCCAGTGGGCACCAGTTTTCTGTGTAAAAATGCCTTGTTGATCTAAGAGGTGAGAGGAGAATGGCCGGAGTGCTTGGAGCTAATAGGAAGGTAGCAGTAACTCAAACAACCACTCATTACAGATAAGGTGAGATATCTCTGAAACCTGTCAAAAACTGAAATAAACATGAAAGTATGGATCATTCCACTTCCAGTGGGAGTCCAACCCAATATGAGCCAGTTATCTCTTATAGGCTGCCTGGTCATAGTACATTGTACACTTTTAAATAAAGATAGGATTGCACCAATCAGGCATAACATTTTGAGCACTGACAGTTGAAGTGAATAACACTGATTACCTCTTCATCATGGCACCTGTTAGTAGGTGCGATGTATTAGGGGGCATGTGAACATGTCATCACAGTTGATGTGTTAGAAGCAGAAAAAATGGGCAAGTGGAAGAGTGATGAACCAGTGTCAGGGTCATGGGTGGCCAAGGCTCACTGATGCATTGGGGAGCGGACGATCCAGCAGCCAAGCTACTGAGGCTCAAATAGCAGAAATTTTAGAAAAGTGTGAGAATACACAGTGCATCGCAGTTTGTTGCATATGTGGCTGCACAGCTGCAGAACAATCAGGGTGACCATGCTGACTCTGGTCTGTGTTCGTGTGTGTAACTAACCTGGGGAACACCTGGCACCAAGACGCACTATGGGAAGAAGACAAGCCAGAGGAGGCAGTGTGATGTTTTGGGTAATGTTCTGCAGGTAAGTGTTGGGTCATGCCATTCATGTGGCAAAAGCTTTGACACGTACCACCCTAACTAAGCATTGATGTAGAACACACACACCCTTTCATGGTAACGGTAGTCTCTGATGGGTGTGGCCTCTGTCAGCATGATAAGGCTCTCAGTTACAAAGCACAAGTGGTTCAGGAATGGTTTGAGGAGCAGGACAACGACTTTGAGGTGTTGACTTGACCTCCAAATTCCCCAGATCTTATTCCAATCGAGCATCTGTGGGATATGCTGGACAAACAGCTTTAATCTATGT